GTGGAAAAAGTGTATTTGCTATCAATACTAAACTAACATTGGGTATGTATTAATATTTAGCTTAGTATTTATAAGTGTATGATATGCTATGTACATGAGGTTGATTTGTAATGTGTATTTACAGGAGCTATTCATACTGGTGTCGGTGAGACGCATATTACCAAGTTCTTTAGTGTATTGGATTTGCCAGCAGTTGATACACATACTTTTAAAAAAATATGAGAGAGTTATTATAGAAACAGTGGCAAAAGAAAGTTGTTCAGAGGCAACTGCCATGGAGCAGCTACTTACTGTTGAAGACATAAATGATTTGAAGAAGCTATTGTAAGCTAATCATAAGCAATGCACGCGCTATATTGGAAAACTAATATTTGCATGACTTATTTAACGACAGTCTGTTGAGACTTTTTAAAGTGAATTTGAAATGGTCATAGTGATTTTTTTTTTTAATAACTATTATGTATATACTAATTGATCAACTATTTACAATGATTTTTTACAAATTTATTCGTAATAACTACTATATACTCGTACACGTTAATTGATCAACTGTTTACAATGATTTTTTATAAACTTATTCGATGACATTGCATTACATGGTAAATTATACAATCTCATTGATTTATCGTTTACAGTGAATTCTGTATTAATTTATTGTTATAAGATTTTTTTATGTTATAAGTTTAAAACTATGTACAACTATTATAAGTGCATTGCGTGCAAATTAATCAGGTTATGATATATTTTTTCGTTATATATGAATATACAATAATTTTAATAACTAGTAATATAGTACACAATTTAAATTTAAGCAACAATGTATAAATTTACAATTAATTATTGATAATTTCAATAAATTTCAACTAAAAATATTCAGGAAAAATTTATTTCATTTATGATTTCACTTTTATTTTCTTATTAGGCGAGAAAATTTGCAAGAAGGGTACTTTATTGTTAATGTAGATAGTGATGATAGCAGCAAACCTATTGTCAGAGTTTTTGCATCGTTTGACATGGGCTGGGGCCAGAGAGGAAATGGTCACACGTATGATAGTCTTAATGGTTATTCTGTTCTAATAAGCATGAAAACTAGGAAGGTTCTAGATTATTGCAAGAGGAATCGTAAATGTCGAACTTGTAACCTTGAACTTCATACAGAAAAAAGATATCGCATGATTGCCAAAAAAATTTCACAGGTATTGCCAAAGCTATGAAAGCTAATGGTGTTGTCCAATTAGTTAGCAGTAGTCAAATATTAAAAGAGCATAATGTGCAAATTGGCGTTTTTATTGGAGACAATGATAGTTGTAGTATTTCATCGGTACAAAATGTGATTAATTATACGATTGTTAAGCAATCAGACATGAATCACTCTATAATAATGTAGGAACTATGCTCTATGCTCTAAAAATAACATCAGATCCAGATTATCAATTGTCAGGTAATGCGATTAAACACATACAACGCTGTTTTAGTTACGCCATCTATCAAAATAAAATAAATGTTAATGGCATTCAAAATGCCTTATAAAATATACCTTATCATTTATTTGATATGCACCGAAATTGTGGAGATCGGTGCAAAAGTAATAACGTTAAAGAAAATTCGAGTAGTATTATTTTAAAGAATCCTATTTTATTTGAAAATATATAGAAAATCTTTCATAATTTATCTGCAAACACCTTTAAATTCGTTGGTGCAGCGAGCAGTCAGGCAAATGAGGGCCTGAATAACTTCATGTATCGTAAAAATCCAAAAAGTTTAATATATAGTACCTCTGAATCCACTGATTACAGATTCAGTGCCACTGTGGCCTAAAAAAATTGTTGAGTATCGTACTTACAAAGATGTTTAAATAAAGCCGGTATTAATCTCAAACAAATGTTAAATAAACATGTTGAGAAAAGTCAAAAAATAAAATGCTTTTACACCAGCTTTTAAAATAAATCGATTAAATTTAAAAGCCAAAAGATCTCAATTGAGATATCAAAAAGAAAATAGTGAAGGAGAGATATATCTTATTAGTATGGCTTTGCTAGATGAATCTTCAGTTAATGACAAAAGCTGTGTAAAAATTTTAGCTTATAATTCAAATACTTTTAAAACCAGTGATGTAGCTACTTTATTCTTTGACCTTGAAACTGGTGGATTAAGTATGAAGAATGAAATTTTGCAAATATGTGTCAAGTTTGGGCAACACATTTTTAAGTCATTCATAACTCCCACTCAAGCAATAAATTTAACTGCATCTAAAATAAATGGTCTTACTAAGGTCCATAAAAAATTATTTCAAAATGGAATTGAAGTTGAAACTGTCTCAAAAATTAGTTTTTCCAAAGCTATTGAATTTTTTACAAAGTTTAAATAAAAAGGCATATAACTGTACGTTTGATTCAAGTCGCCTGATTTTAGTTTTAAAAAATGTATGCTTGCTTAAAGACTATGAAAAGCTCCTTGAAGGATTAAGTGATTCATTAGTGTTATTTAACAAAAATACATTAAAAGAGAAAATTGTATAAACTTACTACTTTAGCAGCTGATCTTCTGGCTCTGTCTTCCGAAGGTGCTCATGACGCTAGCTTTGATGTAATTTTATTGGAAAATTTGGCCACACAGTTTTTGGCCATTGATGAAATTATTGAAAATAAAAAAACTATTGGAGACATAGGTACTACGTTAGACAACAGCGAGAATACGTAGAAGTTATTACCTTCGTTTTCTCCCATGAATGGAATTATCTCCGTTGGAATGAAAAAACTGCTATATTCCTCAGGCATTAGTTATGAAGAAATAATATAAGTTTATAAATCAGATGGGGAAGAAAAAATAACGAATCTGTTGGAAGGAAGCGACAACGGGAAACCAACTATAATAAAATCTAAAAAAATACTCCAAAATATTTTGAACTTCTTGAAAACTCAAGTGTAATTATTTATAAATTGCAAGAAAAATGTACAAAATTTATTAAAATTATTTATGTGCAAAAGATTATTGAGTGTTTATTCAAAAGTCATTAACAATTAACTGTTGTAAATAAATTATTTATTCTATTATTGTGTTTCTAATAATTAATATTTATGTGATGTTAAATAAATTACGTCTATATTATTTTTAAATACACAATTAAAGAATGAAAATTACGTTATATTCAATTTTTCATAAACTTCGGATATTATGATATATTAAGATATTAAGAAAAATATTAAGATATTTTTATTGTTGTTTCATCGAAATGCATGGTAAGCCATGTTTTTTAGAAACATAAAACCAATCTTGATTTATTTCTCTTTCAATTCATGTTAACAAATCCAAAATCTGTGCTTTTTTCATCGAACTATTCCTATCAACGGAGGTCAATTTACTCGTCTACATAAGAAGGCTATGCAAAAAAACGTTACTATACGCATCGATGTCTTCAAAACAATGTAGTCAAAAATTTTGAAAAAAATCAAACATCATTATTATGTTCTAGTTTACCACAGTTTTCAATTTCATGACAATCTGTGCATTTTCATGAAACTCCTGAACCTCTTTCAATCATAACGTATTATACATAGAAAACTCGCGATACACAACGTGAAATAGAAAATGTTATCCAAAAAATATGTGGATAAAACGCTAGAAAAAACAATCTAATTCCTCATAGATATTTCTTAAAAATGTATTAATTAGACTCAAACTTCCTTAGAATAAAAGACAAAATCCTTAATTATCTATTGATAAATATATAAGACAGACCTATTAATACACACTCATCTGTAAGTTTCACATTTTTTAAAGTGTTTTTATAGAAGAAATCCAAGTTATATGAATAAATATTAATAAATTGCGTATATTTTATTTATATGCGTTGTTTCATCACAAACTAAAATTTTATTTTAGCTTATGTTTTGGAAAATTTAGCCAATCGCCAAGTTAACTTATACATTTAGTATTTAGTATACCTATATGATTAAATTATACATTAAATATTTTTCAAAGTTTTTTTTATGATTAGTACATTACGATACAAGTGCGGGAAAATAGATTCTTGTCTCGTGTGGCGTTTACGCCCGAGCGAAGCGAGCATGTGCCTGAACATGTGCCGTACCGTATTTTTTGATACGACGTGTGGAAAGTGCGATTTTCAACGCACGTTTTTTGCCGAGAGTGCGGGAAAAACGCACTTCCCGCACGGAGTGTCGAAAAATGTTATACGCATATTTGTCATTAATACAACCACAGCTTTTTTAAAAACTTTAATTTTTACTCTATTTAATTTACTATTATTATTTATAAGCACAATTATATTTCATTCATCTTTCAATTATTAAGCACAATTTTTAAATAATCAATGAAATAAACGAATCTTGTAACAAAAAAAAAATATTATAATCTATTTTATTTTCCTTCGAAATATTACTAATCTCATATACAAACAATGGTTAAGGAAAATCCCTCACAAAAAATCCCTCAAAAAAAAAATAGTTTCAACCACGTGTTCTGCAAAACCTTTCATTTTTAATAACAAATTTAAAACATTTGAACGTAAATACTAATTTGTTGACAGACCCTTGAAATGTATACAACAATCCTTCTCCACTACTCTAATATCCGGGCTATTAATATTAACGAATATAGTTTCTATTTGTTATTAATATCAAAGTCTGAAATGAAATTTATGTCAATAATTGCCGTGGCAATTTGAATTTTATATGTCAATCGCGTTTTAACTAGTATTTATTATATATTAACTATCTTAAAATTTCAATTTTTTTTTAATTTTAATAAAATACCTTATTTATTGTATAAATAAAAATTTCAAATAGAAAGTTATTTGAATAATTTTTTTCACAATCAATAATTTTCAATATTTATTGTTATGCAAGCATACATATTTTGAACTAGCTTAATCAATTCAACCATGAATTAGTAATTCTAACTTGGCAAATGCAATCTAAAGTATAATTGCCATAAAATAATGCATAAAAAATATAAATTAGTAGTAGGATTTATTTTACCGAAGAGAAGGTATTCCTTTAGCATAACTCTTGCCATAATATTGAAGAGGAATTGATCTACACATTTCTTTTGCATAAAATTTAATATTGTAAGTATGATCTCTGATTAGCGAAGGAGGAAACATACTACCATCAGAACCTTCAACCTTATCGCATTTTTGGTCATGCCAAATATTTCGATTACTTCTTCCATTGAAATATATTGTATTTCCAAGATTTCTTATATCATCTAAACCAGAACTAATCGTCAGCCGATCCTTTGATACACCAGCTTTCTACGATTTTATATGTTAACATTATTTATGTTATTAAAATATATTTGGTATATTTTAGTAAATATATATGGAAATATAAAATTTCGAATATAAGAGTCTGATAATTTAATATTATTAAAAAGTTATTTCCTTCGCGATATAAAATTATGAATATAAAGAGAAGTAAAATTAAATAATAGATATTTTATGCATCACATTACTTACAAAAGCTAGAATGCCAAAGTTGTCGTACGGAATATTCTGTTGCCAGGATATAAGGGGCTTAGCTAATCGAAAAAGCTCATCATCATAGCCCCAAAGATAACTGTGAACGGGTAATTTGAGGAAAGGCTTAGAGCGTATAGTAGAAAGTACGGCGGTAAGTGAAAGTTGGGCGATAAAACTCATGTCCCGTGCAAAGGCTATGGCTGTGAAGAGGGGCACATTTGGTACTGTTAGTTGCTCATCATCAGGACTACCACCCTCCCATTGATAACTACGCATCTCCTGGTAACTTATTTCATGTAAATTGTCGGCAATTTTTGGCTTTATACGTGCAACAGTTTCGCGGTATACATATGGTCCGATTTCATGTACATGCAATTTTGCTGCCCGACCAGCCTCAAAATCCTCTACATTTGTGTAATTGAACACATGAATCCGATACACAGCACGTACAGTTGGATGTTGCCACCAAGCAAAGCTCAAACTACCGTTACGCAGTTGAAGTCTAGACACTATTGCATCACTGAACACTTCCGTCAACCAGGAAACTGCGCACAAACTCAAGCTCAGAACTACCAACGAGCTCAGGAGCCAAAACCCAGGCCGATTACGTGAGATGCCTATTTTTAAATTTCTTTCTACTGCCTTTTCCATATTTCTTATGTAACTTGTATATTACTCCTGTATATTATTTTCTTTTTTTACTCGTTCCTTTCTTTTGCTTCTACTTCTCGTCCTTTTTTTCTGTTTGCCCTGATCGTTAACAACAATTTTCTGTTCTTAATATTAACATACTCCACTTGTTTAACAACTTGCAGTTTGTTGAATAAACAATTGCTCTTATGCTTCGTCGTACACTTTATACAATGTCTCCATTTTTCTTGTTTATCTTTACACGACGTATTTATTTCTACTGAACATCTCATATCTCTATCGTTGCCAAGATAACCTTCCCAAACATTCCGCTGACCCTAATTAAGCTATCCAAATCGAATGTCTCCTTAAATTACTCAATCAGAATGCTAATATTTTTTAGATATAATGCTACTGATAACAGTTAATTTTTCAATTTGTATTACTTTTATATCCACATTTTACTTTTAATTACCTTGTATAACTTTTAATCAAAATTTGTATAAGTTCAATCTATTCAATACATACTATAAGAATTAATTTATATTATTCTTTTTTTCTATAAAAATTAAAAATCAATTTTAGATTGATTAATATTTAAAACGTACCTTTCCACAGACAAAATGGGTTACATTTTAAGGCTTTATATCTTTGGCAAAAAGTAATCTACAAAATCGGGCGAAATCGCTTTTGAAAGCTCTTTCCATAAGCTCTTGAATGATTTGCATCATGAGTGTAATTAAATGATTTTTCTAATTTTTCCAACGAAAAATTAAAATTCTAAAATTTTAAAAATTTGCCTCATCTTTGATCTTTCGCCAATCATCGAAATAAAAGCTCAAAAAAATTTCTACTACATCATTTTAAAGTTCTTTTGATATCATATTTAAATCACTAATTAAAAATTTATTTTTATTAAATTTGACGGGCGTACAAGCATTTTTCCTGAAAATTAACGCTTTTTTTCATCTTTCTATAATTCTGTAAATTTAAATTACAAAAAATTAATAGGAAAGAAAATGTTTATTTATCTTTCTACGTATAATACCGTGGAATTTTGGCAATTTCTTTTTTTTTAAAAGAAATTAAAGATAAAATAAATCCGTCAAGACAAGATAAAATAAATCCGTTCATAAAAATGATAATATTTTTAGAATTCAAATGCAAACATATGTGCGATTTTATTGCAATGATTGACAAAAGCAAAAAGATTAGCACAATTTTTTAGATTTCATAATTTTGACTTTTCGATGAGAAACTTAAAAAAAATATTTAATTAAATCCACAATGCATAACGTCTTGAAACGAGCATTCAACGCGACCTCGCCCGTTTCTCTAGATTACTTTTCACTAGATGTAAAATTTTGAAGTTAAACCAATTTTACTTTTTGTTAGGAGGGAGGGGGGGGATTAAAGTACATAACTGGTAGTGTATTAATTAATGTGATTGATCCGTTAGCATGCAAAATTATCTTTAGTGAAATGGAAATGTAGGTACAATATTTATAATTCAAAGCATTCTTTATAAATTTACGATATGTACAGTTTTAAAATGAACTGCAAATTTATAAAATTGAAAAATATACAAATTTATAAAATATTTTCCCGATTTTTCCAATTTTATACAATATTTGCAATTATTTGAAAATTATATCAATTTCGATAAGATGAATTTAATCTCTATTTTTCTTTCTCCTAATTCATCAACTAGGAATTCAACAGTCTTAATAAAAAATCTATTTTTAATCACCGCGAAAAAATTGTTTGTACGTATGGATTGGTTTTCATTTGAGTATATAAACATTGATTTTTGACTATTAGATCATATGAATAATCAAAAAAACAAAAAAACAAAATCAACACTTGAACAATTGAAAAAAAACACAATCAACACGATTCATTGTTTATTATTTGAACGAGATTTGTCAAAATATCGATTTTCTTCAACTATAATAGTTTCCTATTGAGTGTAAACTGCACAAAATACCTATATATGTGTAAGTATTTTCTGCTATGTATACACAGTACACACACTCGCATATACCCAAAAACACACCCACCCATACAAACACACACACACACACGCACAAATAAAACAAGTATTTTTTTGCCTATTTTTACCTTTTGTAGCCTTTTATTGCCTGCTTTTACCTTCTGTTGCCTTTTTTTCGCTTATGATTTCCTGTGTTTTGCCTAGGATTGCCTATGATTTTGCCCTTTTCAGTATAATCATTTGATTTTTATTTATTATTTAAATCTCGAATGAAGTATTGGTCAAAAGTAGCTAAAAGTCTTTGCTCAATAGTTAGAATATATATCAAAATTTATTAAAGAATAATATATAGGTAGATAATATTTGATTGTGTCATCTTGAAGATTTAAACTAATTTCAACTCAAAGCTGTTAATTTAATATATGTTGTAACGGTTGTTGATTTCTTCGGGAGTAAATCGCCGTCCGTTAACAAAATATCTATGTCACCGCCGTTTTCCTCTTTTGGTTAGCTCTGTGCTGGACGCGCAGCCTGAAAACGAGCGCGAAAGCACGGAACAATACGAAAGAGCGGTGGTTGTAGGTTCTTAGAAAACGTTGCGAGGGAGAAGGGAACGTAGAGAGAATTCGGTGCTATCGAATGAATACGCCGATTTACTCAGTATACTCACAGCGGATTTTATTCGTTACTTATTTACATGTTAGCGCACATTCCCTATTGACCGAGAGATTGGCATCGCACAGCCTAATCATACGTACGCGTGAGAGAGAGACAGACAATAATATTATGAATGGCACGCAGCCGACGCAGTTTATATACGCTCGCTTCCCGGAACTCTCGCATGCGACATTGATACAACGGAAGAAACTTACGCGGGCGAACGCTGCTGCAGACAGCTACGCCTTGGGTTTCGAACCTAAATGCTCGGTCGACGTCGCCCAGAGTCACCGAGGGTGAGTGTTCTGCCGACCTGTCCTTATGGGTGGTGGGCGACGTATCGAGGCCCTCGAGTTGTACGGTGATCTTGAATCGGATCCCGTTGATCCTCGCTCTTAGTTGATCTCTCCGTGCACTGACAAAATTCGTTTCGCACCGTTTTTGCTGGTCACCGCACCGAACCGATTCTCCTGTATTCGACTTTTTCCACACCCGGAAAACAAAAGGACTTTGAGCGTGCCTTGCTCGCTTGCCGGTCTCCCGTGTACTCTCTCGAGCCCGCGTGTCGTAGCTATCTCTCTCTCTCTTTCTTGCTGCGCGGGTCTTTTGCGCATGGCGCGCTATTTCAAATCTCGCTCATCCACCTCTTAACGAGCCTGCTCGTTACAGCCCTTCCCTAGTCCAAGCTTACCGGGAGTTTGGACGGATCCCTCGATGGCGCGGTGATGAGCGATGAATGACTAGGGATGATCATGAGGTGAAATGAATATACGATTTTTTTGTAGTAAAACGAGGCCTTTTTATTCAGGAAAAGGAACTAAGGGGGTCGGCTAGGTTTTTCCATCGGCGGACGGTTCAGGATATTCGGGCACCTGCTGGACCGGGTTACACCCGGGTGTCCGCACCGAGCGCATCCCTGCGCCTGCGAGAAGGAGAGCCCTTCCCTTTTGTTGTTGGGGTCGCACTGGTTCGGGTTCGGTTTCCGATCTGGATCACGGTTGCGCCGACTCCGCTTCCTATGGAAGTCCTCGGGCAGCGCTCGTCCGTGCTGCCCACTCTGGCTCCTTTCCCTGCTCGGGGCGATGGTGATGTTCACCGTCCCTCCTCTGGACGAGGATGCCTCCACGCTGATGTTGGCGCTGGAGGTTGACCCGGGATGATGGTGGTGGGTCTCGCCCAGAACTTCTTTGTGGCCTCCATGGGCCTGCTCTTCTTGCCCTTGGGTCTGGGCGACTCGGACCTTCCTGATTCGCGTAGGATTGCCAGGTGGCAATCTTCTCGGCCCATCCTCCGGCCATCTGGGCGGCACCGGCATAATCTTGGAATTCGGTAACCTCGCGATGGTGTTAAAGGTGAGGAGTCGCACGAAATTCCAAGCGCTGTCTACCTCTTGGAGGGCGTTGTGGAGGAGCCCCCACTTGTCCTCCAGGGAAGATTCCATGGACCAGGCCAAGGGGAAAGTAGGCCAGTCGTCCCTGTTGTATGGGCGGTCTCGCCTGGGGTATTCCCGTAGGTGCCACGGCCTCTCTGTTCGTGGGACGGTAGTGTCTTCTGGCCCTGTGTCTGTCGGTTGTCGGCCCCGTGTTGCGGTTGTAGCGCTGGGACCGTTGGTGGGCTCCCGGTTGACCGAGGAGCCCATGGTGGGAGGAGGAGCCTTTGCGCAGCCAGGTGTATTGGTGGAGGGGTCAGCCTCGGTGTTGGTTGCTGCCTCTGTCGTCTCCACTCGTCTTGCCCCCGCTGGTGGATTTGGGCGTCCCGGGGCTGGTCGTCCCTCACCGGTAGGCATCGGCAGGAACTTCTCCCATAGTCCCTTTAAGCCGTCTGATGGAGGTGGCGGAGCTAATCCCGGTCTGTGGGTTACCACTGGGATTCCCGGGGTGGGCTCCCTCACCTCGACGATTCGGATTGGGCGATCGTTCGGCCGACTTCCCGGGGCGAGCATCGACTCCCCTTGGCTGTGGGCGCGTCCGAGTTGGGCGAGGAATCGCACTTGAGTGTGTACGATTAGTTCCCTCGCAACGCGCCCAATGTTGACCTCGCCCAGTTCGTTGAGGGCCGCGTCGGCTGCGCTCACCATCATCTCCTCCACACGGATTGGGTCCTCGAGGTCTCGGGCCCTGACCAGTCTCCTCTTCATCCGGCCCAGAATCTCCGTGACCCTCGTCTGCGCGGAGTCCGGTAGGTGGAGGTACTGGAGTTTTTCCTCCATCCAGTCCGCGTTTCCTCTGATGATGGTCTCCATCCTAGGGTTCGGGTTGAGGTAGATAAATGATATTCGACATGAGTATGATATATGCTATGATATGTTCGAAAATGGTAAATGGTTACATAATACGGATTGCTCGTACCCCGGGGTGGGTATCACAATTAACGAGTTCATGCTACGATTTCCGAGGTCGTCCGCGTCTTCGTACGGGAGGTTCGTCTCCCCGCTTTTCGCTCGAAGCCGCGCGCTCGACTACCTGACGCACCACCGGTACGGCTTTCCTTGGGCGACCCCTGTTTCTCTTTTCGGAGATCGGGACACCCTGACTCTGTGGTCCTCTAGGAGGCCGCCCACGTCGTCGCCGTCTGGAGGCGCT